AAAGAACGAACAGCTGCTGCACTTGCGATTGAGACCGAAGAAGAAAGGGTCTCTCGTCTTGCTAAGAAGAAAGAACGAACAGCTGCTGCACTTGCGATTGAGACCGAAGAAGAAAGGGTCTCTCGCCAAGCAAAAGACAGAAAGCGTCATGGTACTGCTTACGCCCAACGTTCGGCAGCAATGCAAACATTTTTCGACACGATAAACACTTTTTGCAATGTAACTTGTGATATTTGTCATAAGAAGTGATATTCTAATCAGGTGACAAAATATCACATGCTTGCTTCTAAGGGATACCTTCCCCCTGAGCTTGCGCAAAAGACTGTGCTAGAAGTTTGTCACCGATGTAACTCGCACTTGCGCAACAATAAGAAGAACATGGCTCCGTCAAAAGCCTACTGGAATAACCTTGATCCTGGTGAAGTTCCCGACGTAATTGCCAATTTGAGCGAGTGTGAATACAGACTTTTACGTCGTATAAATCCATAAATTAAAATTATCAAGTTTAATGGCCGCTTTGGCCAATATGGATTCAAGGGTCAGGCTTTTTTTTTTGCGCTCGATATATTTGAAGTCAGCGAACAATTACCATCGATGTTGCCTCTCTCAAGCGATGATTCCGGCATGGTGATTGTCACTGAGACACTTGAGAATTTGAATATTTCGCGTGACTTTCCCATTTCTCGCCAGCGCATTTACGCCGCACTTCGTTTGTTGATTAAAAACAATCCTCTCTACAGTGATGTGACAATTAATCATTTTGCGCGCCTCGTTCCAGAAGACTTTGTTCGAGTTGTTCCTCCAGAAACCAGAGTTTCTTCCAGGCATCTCTTCGGGGGGGCGAAGCCCCCCCGAAAATTTTTTACCGCCCCCCCGAACGAAATGAAATTTATATAGAAAATATATACTTTTAACAGTGTCCGCCCCCCCGAAGAAAGTTTACCGCCCCCCCGAAGATTTCAAGTGCCCCCCCGGAGAAAAAAGTCTGGAAGAAACACTGCCAGAAACGCAACAGGAACAAGAAGATGATTTGATTAATGTACCAACAATGCCTAATGAAATGCAAAATCAACCAATTGCGCGCAGTTTATACACTCGAATAAACGAGTCGTCTCGAATTGTTCACGGCAATTGGCATCAAGCACAAAGTCACGTTTTTGTTTCTGGCTTTGCCGGAGTTCAATGTTTTGCTATGGTGACAGCGAACATTATCCGAGCTTCGATTCATCCCCCTTGTCAATGGGATAGTAATGTTATTAATCAGAATATGCTAGCCGGAGATGATTTATATGCCAATATTCGTGATATAACTGAAGTCAGAAGAAATCAAGCTGGAGTAGCTCAGATTCCACCTGATGGTTTCTTGATGTTGGAAAACCTGAATGTTGTACGAAAGGATGTCACGATGTTTGAAAAAGCATTTAAACTGGAATATGACGATACTTGGCTAGGCAGTGGCAGTCTGGAAGACAAACAAAACGATAGAGTTAATGGTCTGACGTTGCGCTATGGTATTGCACGTCTATTCGAGGAACACAGTGCTGGTGTCCTTATTGTCGATGGCTCGACATTGGGATTGATGCATTTTGACGGAAAGTACTACTTTACCGATTCCCATTCTTGCGGTCCGAAAGGAAAAAGCGGAAGCGCCAATGGTCGAGCATGTGTAATAGAGTGCGATACTACAGAAGAACTTCTGCGTATAGTAAAACGCACAGTGGGATCTCGAAACATAGAGTACAGAATTAGCTACATTGATGTTCGTCTTAATGGTGAAGTTATGCAGCTAAATGATCACTTACGCATGCACAATTTACCTTCGGATGAAATTTCTGATGCGAATGTGAATGGCGAGGCCAGAATTAATGAAATGCCCGCACACGAAAGTAACTACGTTCCCATGCAAACTTCCGTCATGGCTCCCATTAATATTGTTCAGCCTGATGTAGAAGATGTACTAGTTGAGGGAGAAAATATTAATGAGATCCGGCGAAAAACCGGAAACAATATTGTAAATGTTGACCATGATCGAAGGGCTGAAGAGTTCTCATGGTATGATCTCTTCCCATATGGAAAAAATGGCCTGAATGAGGATCGCCCAGTTGAAATCACTCCGCTGGATTACTTCCAGGCGCGAATTATGGGAAAAATTAAACGTTTCCAACGCACTGATTACCTTTTCTATGCGCTCTCAATGTTTGAGTACTATCGAGCTAAGTCAAGCATTAGCGCATGTGTTAAGAAACTTAGAGGTCAGGAAGGTGCTGTAGAGGATCTCCACCTTTACATGAGAAACTTACGTGGATCGGCAGCATACTGGTCAACTGCACATAGCGAGTTAGTTGCCATGATTCGCATTCTCGGTCCACCAACATGGTTCCTCACGTTAAGCTGCAATGATCTGAACTGGAAAGACATGCGCATGGCATTACTGCATGCCGATAATAGATCGCACGAAAATCCAATAGACCTCACAATTGATGAGGTTCAACGCCTAATCGAACGATATCCAGTCGTAGTAAGTCGCCATTTCTCGAGAAGAGTGAACGCCTTCTTGAAATTCATAAAGGCAGATGATAAGGTTCTTGGTGGCGTATAGAGTTCCAAAACCGCGGCAGTCCTCATCTCCATATGGTAGTTTGGATTAATAACGCTCCTTCATTTGAGTCAGAGGAAGGAATAAAACTGATTGATGAGGTAATATCTTGCCGATATCAGTGTGAAGATGAAGATTCCGTTATGCATAATTTGGTGAAGCGAAACCAAATACACAAACACACACACACATGTTATAAAAATGGCAAGGATATGTGTCGATTTTGCTTTCCGCGTCAGCCATGCAATCAGACGCGAATTCTCGAACACACATCTGATGAATTCATTCGAAATGGCGGACGAACTTGTGTTTTAAAAAGACGACAAGAGGACAGGTTTGTCAATAACTACAACCGCATCATCCTCAAACTCTGGGATGCTAATATTGACATTCAGCCATGCGGAAACGATGAGAGAATCGCATACTACATTGGCAAGTACATCTCGAAAAATGAGCCAACGATTATGAACGAAGGAGTTGCAGAAGCGATTCGAAACATTCGTCGTGAAGACACAAACATTTCGCGAAAAATGTTCAAAATCTGCATGCGAATTTTGCATGAGCGTCAAGTCTCAGCATGCGAATGTGTCTATCGATTGTGTCACTTACCGTTGCGAGGAAGTACGAGAAATTGTGTGTTCCTTGATACAAGGTTGAAGCATCAGCGCTATCGCAGCCTTCTTTTTGAGAGAAATGAAGCAACGGGCGTAGCGTCTAACTTCTTCGATCGGTACGAAATACGCCCAAAGCAACATCCTGATTATAATTTTAAGGATATGTCTTTGATTGAGTTTGCTATGTTATTTGAACCACATTACGGCAAACGCTTTGATGACTCCGAAATAAGTGTTGATGCTGATGAAGAAGAAAAACAACAGCAAAACGGTAGAAAAAAACTTATCACACTCATAGACGGTTCCAAAATGGCAGTACGAAATATGCCTGCAGTCGTACGAGTGTCATATTTCCAAATGCAAAGAGATTCGGGGAACTTTTTCTACTCTCTCCTCGTGCAGTACCAGCCTTTTGAAAATGAGAATGAGCTACTTGAAGGCTACGATTCTGCTCGAGAGGCATTCCTTGCTCGCGAAGATCAGCTTAAAGAAATGAGCAAATATATGGAGACATTCCGAAGAAGAGATCATCATTTAGAGAATGCTTTTGTACAAGCAAATGCTTTTAATCTCTTGCAGCCTGAGGAATTCAATGAGGCTGAATTCGTAGAAGAAGAACCTCTCGATCAAGGCATGACTGATGAACAGTTCCAGTCTGCGTGTGCTGCAATGAACGTCAAGCAATGTGAGCTATATAATCATGTGACAAGTTGTATTCATGAACAGCTCAATGGAAGTGCCAGAAGACTCAGACTCTTTGTGACAGGTGGCGCGGGAGTTGGCAAGACTTTCACCTTTAATGTTCTTAAGAACCAAGTGAATCGATGCTACGGTAAAAATGCCGTAAAAGTCGCAGCTCTTACTGGAGTCGCTGCTAGATTAGTTGGAGGCTCCACATTACACACCACATTCAAGTTACCCATTTAACGAGATGGTAATTTTATCCTCTCTGAAATGCCAATGCTGACGGGTAACTATCTTAAAGTTATGAGACAGCAATGGAAAGATGTTGAATTTGTCTTCATCGATGAAATTTCCATGGTATCTTATGAAATACTGTGTATGATTGACTCTCGATTGAGACAGCTAAAAAAGGAGCCCGAAAAAGTCTTTGGCGGAGTTAATGTAATTGTATTTGGCGATTTGATGCAATTACGCCCAATAAAGGCATCATTTGTATTTAAGCAGCTAGCCAGATTTCAGCCAGCTCTTCATCTTTGGCGTCTATTCGGTCTAGTCGAATTGACAGCGCGGTGATACATCTTTCGCTGATCTCCTAAATGCATTACGAGTTGGCGAGCTCAAAGGTCCTCATTTCGAGCTCTTAATGACGAAAACTGTTAAAGAGCCAACTGGAGAATTTGCACTAAATAAGGCAATCAGAATTTATCCGACAAGAAAAATGGTCGAGGATCACAATAATTCTGTTTTGCAATATTATCGATCGAAAGGCATTCGAATATACAAGATCGAGTCTCAGGATCGAATCACTCTACTATAAGCGATCAAAAACGTGGGGCGCCGTGATTTTCTTACAGTTTCTAATACTGTTGACTCCCTACAAGCTCCCTTATACAAGTCAATAGCATTATCTAATCAATAGTAATATAACTTTTACTTCGGCGCCCCACGTTTTTGATCGCTTATAGTAGAGTGATCGCTTGCATTATTGTGATGTATAGCATTTATTTTCTACTTTTTAGTTCAATCAGAAAACGTGGGTTTTTTAAAACTTTTTTAATGATTATTATTAATTAAATTAAGCTTTCACCATTGTTCGATTTTCTAGTTGATGCAATCAATAGAAGTATCATTTTCATATTTAACACACACAAACATATTTTATTTTTATCACATTAAACTTTAAACGTACACAAATTACACATAAAGCCCTGATACAGAGAAGTAAAATATATGTAAAAATACAGTTATGTTATGTGTTTATTTAAGTCAAGTAGAACATTAATTGGTGATCACATTAAATTTTTTGGAAGTGTATAATGATAATTAATCAAACAACATATAAACCATTCAAGTGTTGGTATACATGTAGTCTACACACGAAGTAAGTTGTAAGATTATGTTTTACATGGTGGTTACATATTTTATCGTTTGAGAATTTCCCATCCACCATGTTTTGTGTTGTACTTCTATAAACTAACGATATTAAAACTACTAAACCAGGATAATTTTGAGCCTTGATCTGCGTGAGACACTTGAAAGTAAAGTTCTTGACCTTTCTTCATATCAACAACCACTGACCCAGCTGCGCTAGTGGCGGCACATTTCACTTCTATAGACATAAGCCACCTGTCTCCAGCCCTCGCACCAACTCTAATCCGTTTATCTTCACTTTCATTTAGTGTTACACAGACAAGATATAAACCATCATGTGGTGATACAAATTTTCCATTTGTCTGATTAAAATGTTGACCGTTATATTCACGTACTTTACTAAATGTTGAAATAATTGATCCAACACTGACAGGTGTGGGATAAGCAAGCTCCATATAACAAGCATATCTGTTACATACACGTGACTCTGTTGATTAGAAAACATATGTATGATTTACATCTTGAATTTCACGAATGGTGTCATCCATTTATGACGTTCACAAAAATTAGGAATTTTAACATTTTTTTATTGAAGATTCTATAGACCGAACATTGTAATGTCATTTGTGTCTGTCTAGCTATTAACGAATATATAGGATAGGGTAAATTCACTAATAAACGTGACGTCATTACATTACTCTAACACAACTTTACGCTACCCATGTTTCTAAAACAACCCCCCCCCCCCCTTTAGTTCTAGTCGCGCTGACTGTGAGCCCTACACACCTGACCAAGCGAGCGTATTATACACGTGCTGTTATTTAAATATCTTACTGTAACGTGATAATTTGTAGATCTACGTCGTCTTAGCGTTTGACACAAATCAATGATATAGGCCTACTATGATTTAGTTACACGATCAATCAGAGCCAAATCTTTTTGTTTTCAAAAGTTTAAGCTTTAATAGTTTGAAATGTTAAAAAAAAAACTTGAAATAACGTGAATAAACGATAAGCTTTAATAGTTTGAAATGTTTAAAAAATAAACTTGAAATACCGTTAATAAACGACAAGCTTTAATAGTTTGAAATGTTTAAAAAATAAACTTGAAATACCGTTAATAAAAGATAAGCTTTAACAGTTTGAAATGTTTAAAAAATAAACTTGAAAAACCGTGAATAAACGACAAGCTTTAATAGTTTGAAATGTTTAAAAAATAAACTTGAAATACCGTTAATAAAAGATAAGCTTTAATAGTTTGAAATGTTTAAAAAATAAACTTGAAATACCGTTAATAAAAGATAAGCTTTAATAGTTTAAAATGTTTAAAAAATAAACTTGAAATACCGTGAATAAACGATAAGCTTTAATAGTTTGAAATGTTTAAAAAATAAACGTAAAATACCGTGAATAAAAGATAAGCTTTAATAGTTTGAAATGTTTAAAAAATAAACTTGAAATACCGTTAATAAAAGATAAGCTTTAATAGCTTGAAATATTTAAAAAATAAACTTGAAATACCGTGAAATATTTTAGATAATTGTTGCTGTCACTGCCCCTTACCGATAGTAAAAGAAATAACTGCTTATCGTCCAAGGCTGGCGGTATACAGTTACATTTTTGGCTACATTTATTCACCCGTTTGGTGGTGAAATTCAACACGAGAACTGCAGATTTAATGTATAACCTATATTTTATATGCATTTTTAAAAAGTATTTTGTTGTTAAATTCAACATGTGAACGTTGATAATGACCCGACCCCCCCCCCACCCCTCTCCAGTCCTCATGCGTTTACAAAAGTATATTGTATTCAGACCCCCCCCTGTGTTGATGTCATAAATGGATGATCCCCATGCTTTGACTATTAGATCCATAATATGTGCATTATCGTATTATTAGTTTATGTTATTAGGGGTCATCCATAAATGACGTCACGCTTTTTTGACGATTTTTACCTCCCCCCCTCCCCTCCGTCACACGTCGTCACAAAAAGCCAGACCCCCCCCCTAAAATGACGTCACACCTCAACCTACAACCCCCCTCAAAATTGCAGTTGCATTTTTAAAAACATCGATATTTTTCCAAAATCTTGTCTAAACTATTACAATTTATTAAAACAGTTATCTAAAACGCGAAATAACGTCTAAAATTCGTTTTCTAACATTGCTTTTTTATAATGCAAAAATGTGACGTCGCAACATCTGACCCCCCCCCCCCCTCCCCCTCATCACACATCGTCACAAAATTACGGACCCCCCCTCCCCTCTACGAGTGTGACGTCATTTATGGATGACCCCTTAGCCATTAACAAAAACTCATCATATGTGTTTTAAATGTTGCTCAAAATGTAAGTAAAATTGGCAAACCCAGATCAAAATATTTTTTTTTTCAAAAAGGAATTTTATATAATAATCCATAAAATTTACATAATTTTGTCTAAGACCACAAATTGAAACTCTAGACCACTAGTTTAGTACGGTCCTCAGTTTTAGTGATGTTAGTTTATCGAGTCCTACGTACTGAAACTACGATTGTAGTAATTCAATTAATACCTCACAAATGGTACGACAAAGGTTATATGCGTTATGTTATAATCATTCAGTCCGTATAGTTTAAATATATAAGGTTAATTTATCGTAACAAGAATCTCTAGAACTAAATTTATTATGTTGTACTTTTGAAACTCTAATAAACGATTGACAAAATTAGCACAATCAACCTATTCTATAGCTCATTTCATGTTACAATAAATTAATATTATATAAGATGTTAAAAATGTAACAATTATTTTTGTCTTTCAGTTATTGTTTTATTTTAGATGTAACCCTTTGGACTCCGCCTTTCAATTGGAAACATAAAGGGATGATGGGACGGTAATTGGAATTAGTTAATTTTTAACTACAGCTCTGTAAATGTCTTACTGTACTAGGGTAGACCGCTGTAGGTCGACCACTGGTGTGTAATGTACCAGGTGAGGAAACAAACACCTGACGGAAACCCACGGGTCTAGAGACTGGCACTATGGGTGAGTGAAATGTTCCATTCTTTATCACGTTATGGTCTGTCAGGCTAACGAACATCACGTTATGGTCTGTCTGGCTAACGAACATCACGTTATGGTCTGGTTAACAAACATCACGTTATGGTCTGTCTGGCTAACGAACATCACGTGACGGTCTGTCTGGCAAACGAACATCACATTATCGTCTATCTGGCTAACGAACATCACGTTATGGTCTGTCTGGATGTGCAATTTGTGTTTAAAAAATTCAGACAAACCTACCTAATAGATTCAAATCTTTGGACAACAATGAAATAGTAGCTTCAATAGTTTCAAGCTAAAAAAAAAGATTTTATAAAATGAGAAAAAAATCACATAGTTACGTAGAACATACAATAGCTGCACTGATGTTACCTGGGTAGGGCAACGTAAGAATGTGAAATAATTTAAAAGGTATATTATTTTTTATTAAATTATAGATGTATCACTTAATTTGAGAAATCATCTGCTCTATTGAAGGAGTGTTAATAATTTAGGCCGGATTTATCAACGTCGCAATTTAATTTTTAATACAATTACTACACATATACCTTCGTTATTTTTTCTTCTCTAGTTTCCAAGTTCTGATTAAAGATTTGAATCAGTTTGTCAATTGGCATCAATCTTTGCTGTAGTAGTTTGTACACTACATTGTGCTAAATAGCAGAAGGTTATATAAAAGTATTATAATTTTGCATATTATATCTAACATAAACATGTGTCTTAACATTAGTAATTATATTAAAGTATAACTGGTGATAAAGTTACTAAGTTGTTTTTTTATTTAACCTAGTTATAATAAGCTTTCTGGAGAGTATGTGTAAAATGGTGAATACACATAATTAGCAATTTTACCTTTTCTATTTGAGTTGATGTATTACACAAGATTTTATCACATTCCTCTTGTAGGGCCGCCATCAGATTCGAATGTCTTTTAATTTCTTGTGTTATACTGTCTATTTTGTCAGTGTAATCTTGAAACTCTTTATTTATTTTGTGTAAGTTGTTTTCATACTCCTTCATATTTAGAGACAGTGTCTCTAGTGTTTTGTTGGACTTTGATTCTTTTTCTTTTAAACTTTCAATTTCTTTGTTCAGCTCCTTTACTTTGTTATCTTGTTCACTCATTTGTTTTCTGAAGTTTTTAAAATTCTGCTTTTGTTTTTTAGACAGTTGTTCAATGTTTACCCTCATGTCACTCTGTTCTGTTACAAAGTTGTCTCTCCATTGTTCTATTTCTGATATGTCATTTGTAGACTTGTCATTGGCGTCTTGTAGAGAAGATACGGCTGTCTCTATCTGCTCAAGTCGACTGACGTCTTGTAGAGAAGATACAGCTGTCTCTATCTGCTCAAGTCGACTGACGTCTTGTAGAGAAGATATGGCTGTCTCTATCTGCTCAAGTCGACTGACGTCTTGTAGAGAAGATATGGCTGTCTCTATCTGCTCAAGTCGACTTAATATTTCTGTTGAATAGTAATATAAAAATAATCGAAATGTTAATTATGTTGTATTATTTCTAAAATGCTACTTCTTTGAAGAATTAATTTTAGAGATTTACTAATAAAGTCTACGTCGTTAATAAATAGATTCTACCGTCTGTTTGTTGCCCTTGTTTAGTAACTTGATTTGTTGATTCACTCCAGTCACGTTTTTCAGTTGTTGTAGTTTGTGGTGTAGACTGATAGAAAGATGGCGTTGCTGCATCGACATCTAAAGGCTCTTTATTTTCACCTGTTATAAAATAATATTATAAAATAAAACTTTAGTATTCCACTTTTCAGTAATGGTTTAATTCTTGTTATTAATGACATGTTATTGTATTGCATACATATTTACGTGTGTGAGCGGGTGATTGCAGCAGAAATTTGATTTCAAATAATAAATTATAACGCATGCAAATCACTTAGAATGTCGTAGATTCTGATAGAAAATTAAGCAATAAATTATGAGCTCTACTTGTTCACACTGTAGGTGATCAAGTACATAAATGTTGTTAACATTTTTTTTAAATTTATTGTTGTCCAATCAGTTACTTATAATGTGTAAAGCTGCACCCAACATTGCCGTGGTCGCTGAATCAAGTTCCTGGCACAGCTCGCTGTATGTGATAGACGGGTTGTCATTTTTATCATCTATCCACATCTTGCTTTTTTCTTTTGCCTGATAAAATATAGCAAATACATATGTTTAGAAATGAAATACATGTTACGCCATTGTATACCTTGTTGCAAGTATAACAAATTTTTTAAATCATCGCTTACGTTTTGCATAATCCATATGACAGGTTCTATTAGTTGTATCTGTTCTTCCAAATATTTCATGAATTCTGTAACATGTTTGAGCTGTAATCTGGAGCGCATTTTACTTTTTCACGCTTCTTTTGTCTTGGATGCCTAGTAGTTCTACACTCATGTCTTGTAAAAATCTCAATAATTATTTTATACAAGATTACAATACGTCCTCTATGTTGCGTATAAGAGAAAGTAATAAAAACGAGAAAAATTAGAACATATACTTCTATAAACTATATATACATATATATATATATATATATATATATATATATATATATATATATAAATATATATATATATATATATATATATATATATATATATATATATATATATATATATATATATATATATATATACAAATATCTAAATAAATAAATAAAAAAAATAATATATATATATATATATATATATATATATATATATATATATATATATATATATATATATATATATATATATATATATATTTATATATATATATATATATATATATATATATATATATATATATATAATTAAACCAATTGATTATTTCTTTTAATATACTCCAATTTTGTCTTATGATTTCCTCGTGTATACATTTTAGTAAAAAAAATTACATTTGTTATTTTATTATATCGCTGTAGATCAACTGACTGACAGACACTTACAGGGGCGGAACTACAGTGCCGCCAGACCCCGCAATGCGGGAGGGGGGGGGGGGGGGAGGGCCATGCCGTTTATGGGCCCACAGCCGACCATAATAATTTTTTTTAAGTTAAAATACTTAGTTTTCTTTCATTTTTGACTTGATTGTTTTGTTAAAAGAATACTGTAGCTGCGGTTGGATTATCTTTATTCTATAGATACCATCCCACGCTCTTTTATAATTATTCTTTTTCCCTTTGTTGTTAAACCACCAAAATACGAGAGTGTCGAAATAAAAATATACAGCTCGGGTTGTTAAACTTAACCCATATTCTGCTAGCGTCCCACTTATGGGACGCTTGTAAAAAAATTTGCTAAAATTTATTAAAAACTAGTTAAAACACAAATTATGTTTCATTGTATTTGAAAATGGCTAGACTATTGAATTTGTGTGCATTTTGTGAAAAAAATTAATTAATATTAATTTTATAGTGCCGGATTTGCAGGACTTGTCAAAATGGCGGAAAAAAGAAAACATGCGCACAGGAAAATGTATATCTTCTAAAATATTCACATTTTAAGTGCAAAATACATTTGAAACTTGTAGCTGTACCATATTTCTATCTGATAAAAATTTAAGAATAACAATTTTTTTTTACTACTTCGTTATATCAAGTGTACAACAAGCGTCCCATAAGTGGGACGCTAGCAACGAAAGGCCCGATGTAGATTGTTACACAAACGTCACATTTATTGGACACTAGCGAGAAACACAGATGCAAATGTTTATGTTAAATGGTTATTTATGGTGAAACAATTGTTGACTTTGTTAACTGCTGACTTTGGGGTGTTGAGTAGTATTTATAGATATTTAATTATGACCTTGACCTATATTTATGCAGATTTATTTAATTATATATTTATTATTATTATATTATATATTATATAATATATATTATATTATATATTATATTATATATATATAATATATAATTATATATATATAATATATATATATATAATATAATATATATATAATATATAATATATATATATATATAATATATTATAATATATATTATATTATATATTATTATAATTATATTTATATTTAATTATATTACATTTTCGATGAATAATAACAATATTTGTGATCATGTGTGTATAATTAGATGTACTAGTCACAGCTTTACTTATTTCCAAGTGTTGTTCACTTTGATGGATGCTAGATTGAAAGAAAACTAGACTTTTGAACATAATTTCTGCATTTTAGACCATGGTATGGCTAACCCAATTGATCATTATCAGTATTTTTATCTTTCCTAACCAATGTAATAATTGGTCTAACAATACAAAATCAGTAAACAGCTTAATTTTCAATGATTAGCCATATTTCTTGATAAATGATTTTATTTTTCAATAAATGTACATAGGGCCATTCGTTGCTAGCGTCCCCTTTATGGGACGTTTTTTAAAAAATCTATATTTAAAAAAGTATTGATTTAAAAAAAAAATCCATAGTCATTCCTTCATTCAGTGCCCAAAAGCTAAACCATATCAAAAAATTAAAAAAATTTGAGACCTTGGGATAATATGGGTGTGCTAATGAAGTACCAGATCTGCCTGTGTGATGGACATTTTAATTATTGTGTATGTAGTGTCTTTTTTTGTGAGTAAGAGATCTGCATTTAGACTCAAAGCAGTATTGTTTTTTTTGTGTGAATTAAATAAACTGAGACACAGATATTCATATCACACAAATTATATTTGAAATAATACTTACAATTAAAAAATATACATATAAATTTTGTTAAAAGTTAATTTTCAAGCAGTAAATAAAACAATTTCCTGTTGATTTCTAGACAGAATTCCTACGTGTAAGCATAGATAATAACGGGATTTGCCGTTAGGTTGTTTCAGTTTCACTAGCAGCAGTCCACAGAAATCTGGAAATACCAAATACAAAATGTACAGCCATTTAACTGACAACAAGGAAAGGAACTATGATAAGCTTAACGTAGGCCCTCAAACAAAATAGATAATTTACTGCAATAATTTGTATCACTTACCGTCTGTATAAATATTAAAACTATTTTTCAGCAAGAATTTTTTCTAAATGTTTTTTTTAAAATTAAAAACATTACCGCACAATGTTCGCCGTAAGCAAAGATAAGCGAACATAGTTTTAAAAAGGGATTGCACTGTTATCAGCGATAATCGCTGCACTGCTTGAGCAGTAATTATTAAATTACCTGAAATAATTTCAGGTAATTTCATAATCTTTTGTGCTACTTTACATGATAACACTTCTATTGTTCTCAAACTTCCCCAATATTGTCAATATATTTTTACATCGTTACTATATAAGTTTGTTTTAATAAATCAACTGTTAATTTAATAGTTTAGGCATAAAAAGTGTACTGTGTTAGTCCGGAAGCATTATATAGATTATTTTAAACACTTGTTTTAGCTATACACATTTTTTAATCAGATGTCTCAGTACAACTCACCCGAGACACTTTTCAGATTTTTGCTCGAACAGTTTGATGCATTGAACAGTCGGTTAAAGATTAATTTGAATAATTTCACGTTACAGGTAAGATACATGAGCGGCTTGGATAAATGTGTAACATAATTGCAACGTAGTTAATTACATATTTATGTGTAAGCGCTATATGTCATTTGTGCAGATAAAATGGAAATTTATGCAGTGAATCGACGACCCTACAGACACATAATTGACATACATAGATACTGTATTTGTATATAAATGTTGATATGTAATGAGTCATTAGATTTAATCATTAAGTGTGTGTTTACTTAATAGTATATGTGCATTATGAATCGTTAATTAATTAAACAGGGAATTTCCTTAATAATGATTTCGTTTTAATATTAAACTAGACCACTCATCATTATCTTAATAACTATGGGTTCAGGGGTCATTTATACATGACATTATTCTTGCTTGACGATTTTTATCTTTTCCATTTCTCCTCCAAACTTTCATCCAACATGAATCATTCACGTGCTTGAGATTTACCAATGCACATTTTCGTGGTAGCAAAATAAAATTAAAAAAAAAACCCCAAAGATCGCATGTTGTTTATACCAATACCAATGGATGATGTGCCTAGCAAAGTGCAGTCATGGTCATTTTCACAGATTAAATTACGGTGAAAATTATACATTTTACATTCTCCTTAAAATTTTTGAAAAATGCTATTCTTAACTAATTTTAACTAAGTAAAATTACGCAAAACATTATTTGTAATTAAATTATACACTAATGTAACTCTTTTCAATTGTAGCAAAATGATGGATATGAAAAATCAAAGTTTGATTATACCTTGGCTTAAAATATAATAAATTTCAATTACAAACACACACACACATATATACATATACATATATATATATATATATATATATATATATATATATATATATATATATATATATATATATATATATATATATATATATATATATATATATTTCAAAACTCTACACATATCTCAGATTTTCGGATCTCTTAACTTTCACAAATAAATTTAAAAGCTTGTTAACGTTTCGTCTATTTTAGTATTATAGTTAAACGTTTTTTAATTTATTCTGTTAGTACTCGAAATAGAAAGTTCATTCAATACACAGTTATACAGCTTGAAGTAAGAATTCATTATAGCTAACGAAACAAATTTTGTGCACAAAATAATATTTAAAAAATATATGTATTAAAAGATCCAGTCAAGTATCAATGATTACGTCTGCGCCCCATTTGCTAACTTCATAGAAATGTGTAAAAGTTGTATCGAATGCGGTTAGTTTGTTTCATTAATGCTAGCATTCAGCATTCTTAGGTTAACCCACTGACACCCATAGGTAACATATAAATAAGTTTTTACTTGAACACATTTTCTACCCTGGTCTGCCCAGACATTTTCTCCAAAATTATCACTTTATTGCTAACTGTCTAAGTAAAATTAAATCTCTATTTTATTTATTTTCTGTAGTTTTTTTAATAGATACATAGACAAATCAACTAATGTTCCCAGTTAGTTCATACATGTATTAAAATAATATTTTAGCGCCTGGTTTTCTGTACTTCGTCAATCTTATTTCCTTTTGATTAAAGTATAACATGGGTTTTTCCTGCATTCGGTTTTATTTCATGTGCAACAGTCTGTTACCCATTTAGCAAAAATACTTTACTGTTTCACAAAACGACTTAAGTACATGTCGAATGTCAATGAAATTAAACAATATCAACCTTTAGACTATAACTTGGTAGACAACATAAGAATTCAAAGTAGTATATGCTTTATTTTAAATTTGTCGTTTGGTTTTATGTGCTGTCAGTAAAAGATTTCTGTTTAACCTTAATGATTTAACTATAAATTAATTTGCCAAATTACGAGATCCATTTAGTTTAATGTATACAAAATAAAAAGAAAAGTGAACATTGATATGTTCAATACACTTATTCTTAAAGTTTGAAACCTAGAATAACGTGGGGGTGGGTTGGGGGTGGATAAAAAAGAGCGAGATGAGTGCAGAAACTGTCCTTCACGAGATATTATCTTGTGGCAGTTTAAATATGTGTGTAGGTCATCACTTTTGTAGTCATATGTATTTAAGTACCGGTATCCCATTTGGTAGTCTAAATATGTGTATAGGTCATCACTTTTGTAGTCATATGTATTTAAGTATCGGTATCCCATTTGGTAGTCTAAATATGTGTGTAGGTTATCACTTTTGTAGTCATATGTATTTAAGTATCGGTATCCCATTTGGTAGTCTAAATATGTGTGTAGGTCATCACTTTTACAGTCATATGTATTTAAGTATCGGTATCCCATTTGGAGCCACATGTATTTAGAATAACTTCAAGGTGCCACTTTATAAGTCACATGCAGATGTTACTTTAAAATGAACATGTATTTAGCCTATTTTTTACTTACAGGCAGATGTTACTTTAAAATGAACATGTATTTAGCCTATTTGTACTTACAGGCAGATGTTACTTTAAAATGAACCTTTACTATGCCTATCTATTACTTACATGTAGAGTACAACCCCACCACAAAGTCATTTAAGTCATTTTGTCACACAGGTACGTCACATTTACATATAATTTTTTGTTTTAATACACAATAATCTAAATCGAACTCATGTGAGTTATAAACGTGTATCAGATTTGAGTGAAAATTAAGAGAAAGCTATAGTTTCTCTTTAAATAATGAAACAAAAGACTAAAGATGACATATTAAAAATAAAACAATGGAGAGACAACTTTGTACCCGAAAAAACAGGACAACAAGAATTGAACAACTCAGCAGAAGCAGACATTCTATGGTTCTTCTCCGTGATCTCCTCGGCTGCCCAACTTTTGTTTTTCCGTGTCGATTGAAATCCATAGCTTTCTTTGCAATATTAGCGTCCTCCCTTTTAATGGTACATCACATCCATCCCCATTTATGGACTTTAATGGCAAAACAAAAACACATGTTGTATCAAAAAATTAAACTATTAAAACAAATGTAAAGCAATTAACTGGTTTTACTAAACGTATTGTTATTGGATATAAGCCGACTTGAGCTTACTTAAGGGATGCAGTTACTATTTGGACTTTTAGGCAAACATTTGGATCACTTTAATGCACTTAGTACTTTTACTTTTAATGCTAAACTGTATCTCTAAACATAATAAAACTTTATTAAAATTCACTAAACATAGTAGAATTTATCGCTACTTAATAGTTAAACATTTATTTCGTTTAGTATTTGTGACTACCACTTCCGTAGAGTTTTTTGTTGCGTTTTTCATACTTTCATTTACTTTCGTTTAAAACAATATGGAGGTTTCGGGGGTTTGTTATTTAGTTGCGTTCAGAGTTTTAACGAGAGCGGTACAAAACTAAAAGTTTTAAATAATGCTAGTGGGTTCAAAGAAAACATCAACATAACACATGAATAAGGGACGTAGCAAATACAATAGTCTAAGGCGTCTGAAATAACTCGATACGTTCCTTTGTAAACATTTTTAAATTTATTTTTATCAATTCAAGTTTTGCAGCTTTTAACGCAAAATGTGTTGGGCATGTATCGTGAAATATATTATATTTTAAAACGTACACCTACTGTTTTATTTGTAGTTAAACTTTATTTCTCTCATGTATTTCATTTCAAGAGACCATAGCTGACATGTACCTCACTTTACTCCAGAATGAATGACATATATTTCGATTCACTAGACCTTAGATGACATGTACATAACTTCGGCAGTCACTTAATAGTAGTATATTAGGTCACTTTTGGACCGCAGGCGCAGGCGCTGGCGCAGGCGGATGGTGAGGGTGAGGGTGAGAAAAGGATATATAGGAAAATACTCCCCGCCTGGCGCACCCGCAGGAACAATGACATATAGCAAAATACTCACCCACCAGGGTGAGGGTGAAGGAGCCGGAGGTACAACGAGATATAGTAAAATACTCCCTGGCGGAGGGTGAGGTACATCGACATATAATAAAATACTACGCCAACTGGCGGAGGTGGATGGTGAGGGTTAGACATGTTATATAGTAAAATACTACGCCAACTGGCGGAGGCGGATGGTGAGGGTGAAGGGTGCGGAGGTACAATGAGATATAGTAAAATACTCCCCCAACTGGCGTTGGCGGAGGGTGAGGGTGGGTCACCACCGGTGACCATGTGACGTAATCACCTTCGGTGACCTTGTGACGTAATCAGTGACCTAGTTACGTAATTTTAATGAGTTTTTTAATTAGTTTGATTTTAATTTTTACATTTTAATTGATTTTTATTAACGAGTTGCGTAATTTGATTATTTGTTTGATTTTTAAT